TTGTTGCTGTGCTCGATGGTTGCGGGACTTGAAGATGTACCTGCGTTCCTGTTGTAGCTGCCTTTTGTTCAGGGTAGCCTTAGATTTATAAAAGCTCTGTTTATGTATTATTCAAACAGACTATGTATTTATTTCATTTCCGCTTTGTATACTCTATTCTTAGAAGCTCATGATTTGTACTACCAGTTCTTGGGGGATGTATAAGATTAAGATGTTTATTCACTTAAATTACTTTAAATAATTGTTATTGGAATTGGATGGTTGAAAGTTGGCTTACCTAGCAGGTTGGGTTAGGTGCCATCACGACTAGTTGGATTTTGGGTCGTGACAATGAGCCAGGCACCTATAAAATGCTGAGTGATTGGGTATGTGTGTGTGTGTGATAAAGTAGGCATTTGTGACATATAGCTTGAGTATGTTTGAAGGTGAGAGTACCTGGGAATATCATCGTGAAATCATTCATTTGACATGCATAATTGGCATGTAGGTATAGAGATGCATTTTTCCTCATGGTAGACGGTATTGTGACATTCATGATTTGACATGTAGGCATAGAGATGCATTTTCCCTCATGCTAGACGGTATTGTGACATTCATGATTTGACGGTTTTGGCTTTTATTATTATTATTATTATTATTATTATTATTATTATTATTATTATTATTATTATTATTATTATTATTATTATTATTATTATTATTATTATTATTGTGGATCGGACTGCACGCTACATCAAGACTTATTAGCTTATTTATTATTGTGGATCGGGCTGCACGTCGCAGCAGGCCTTATAGGCTTTTGATTAGTGCTTGGGTAGGATCCACCCCTTCCGAATCTGACATACCAGCAATGAGCACAGACATAGTGATATATATACACGTTCTTTGATGAGGGGGCTTATGAGCCAGGCACCCGTAAAATGTTGAGTGATTGCGTGTGTGTGTGTGTGTATGTGATAAAGTGGGCATTTGTGACATATAGCTTGAGTATGTTTGAAGGTGAGAGTACCTGGGAATATCACCATGAAATTATTCATTTGTCATGCATAATTGGCATGTAGGCATAGAGATACATTTTTCCTCATGCTAGACGGTATTGTGACATTCATGATTTGACATGTACATTTGATATGTAGGCATAAAGATGTATATTCTTCATGCTAGACGGTATATGATAATTGATGACTTGACATGCATATTGACATCTAGGCATAAAGATGTACTTTTCTCATGCAAACTGGTAATAAAATATCTTATCTGTTGTTGAAAGTTTGGGAAAAATCACAGTTTTTTGATATACTCATATTCTGGTGAAAGATTTGGACTTTACTGTTATACTTGGAAAGCATATCTAATTTTCCGTAACTACAAACAAGATGAGCATAATATCTTTTGAGTTATTACTTTTACTGCCTTCATTATATTATTACGAATTATTATTTGCTATTAGTGTTGGACTATGACGGATTTTCGAGCTCGTCACTGCTTTCAACCCGAGGTTAGGTTTGTTACTTATTGAGTACATGGGGTCGGTTGGGTTAGGTTCCATCACGACTAGTTGAATTTTTGGTCGTGACTCTGGAGATGATAGTCTGTGCTCGCTGGATAATATGAGCAACCATTGCACTTAAAGGTTGCGAAGTATTATTTATGTTGCACGGGGTGATCCATTAGGCTATAAAATTTTGGACCCCCCCTAGCGTGTCTAATTGTTCCAATACATTTAGTGATTAGTACTAGGATTTAGATTTGTGTAAGTAGGTTGAACATCTTTGTAGCCAAAAGATTGGACCAAGTAATATTATTAATGAACGAAGTATGTTCTTTCAAACAGTTCTCTTTACATTATTTCTGTACTACTTCTTCAAATTAGTTGATTATTAGTAGTTGGACTATATATGATCATCCTGCTCCACCTAGAATAATTAATCACTTGCTTTGACCATGTACTCCTTTAGTTTAAAAATGGATTAATTTGCATGCTCACTTAGGATAATTAGTTATAATTCAATATTCCAACATAGCATAAATTCGACCGGGAACCACAATTGTGGACCTCGAAGAGTGCCTAACACCTTCTTTTCGAAGTAATTTGAGCTCTTATCCGATCTTTGGTGACACGGACTAGTCGAACAAAGTTATTTGTAAATAGGTTCCCTAACGCATGATGTGCCGTAGAATTTCAGCACTTTTGATACTAATTACATAGATTTTAGCTCGTATTTTAATGCATTGTTAGTTATTTCTTATGAAGCTTTGGTGTTTTGCAGTGTGCGAGACTTGAAGAACCAAAAACACGAAAAAAAGTCAAAAACCCGTAGAAGGACAGAAATACGGCAAGTCTGCGACCGCAGAAGTGATCTGCGGATCGCAAACCTACCGTAGACTGAAGCAGTTTTTTTTGCCATTGAAGAGAAGAATATGCGGTCCATTATGCAGTCGCATAACACTTCTGCGAACTGCATAATGACCACACAATTGCAACGGGAGATTTTGTTTGAGCACTTTGTGATGAAGTCTGCGGTCGCATAATCGCTATGCGGACCGCATAATGGAAACGTGATGGAGAACTGGGCAACTGGGCATGTGATTATGCGACGACCCTTGCAAATATGCGGACCACATACTTGGTCTGTGACCATTCTGCGGTCGCAGATGGGTTCTGCAGGGGCATTTTTGTCCACCTTTGACCCCGACCTTTGGTCCACTATAAATAGATTTACTAGGGTTTTTGTGGGACAGTTGGTCAGAAAAGGAGGCCACTTTTAGAGCATTGAATACACTATTGTTTTGGAACCTTTTGAAGAAAGAATCTTGTATCTTTGTAAGCTTTATGACTTCATTTATTGCTTTATTCTTGAATTCTAGTATGAGTAGCTAGTTTTAACTACTAAGGTTGTGGACCCTAAATGGATGTAATGTTAATGGGTGTTTATCATTGAATAAATATATAATGGTTGGTTGATATTTATTCATTTCTTATGCTTCATTTATTGTTAGTGGTTGCAAACATTAACTAATTCCATTTCACTCTATCTTTACTTGGAAAAGTGAGTTAGGGTTCGATAAAATTGAATATCAAAAACTCAAGGCTTTAAACCTTGTTTAATAGAATCGCCTAGGAATAAGTGGGTTCTATTTGGCATAAATTGGTTATTCTTAACTGCAACTCTTTTATATTTGGGAAAATCATAAAGAGAAAATATTACCTAACTATTGAAAAATATTGGGTAGTCACTTAGAAACCATTTGCATATCAAAGGACTTTCCATTAGAAATATATCATATTAACACTGATAGCATTACATTCCATTGATGGGGACACAACCTTGGTTTCCTTCATCAAATTAAATATATTCTCACAATACAATAGTCTTCTTTACTACACATAATTACAACACCATTTTCAAGCTAACAGAATAGAATTACGATTTAAGTCAAGTTTCACACTATTCAAGTAATCTTTTCACACCTATTCCCTGTGGGATTTGACCCCAAACTAGTTGGGTTATTATATTTGACATTGACCGCCTTACATCATTTATTTAGGTGTATTTTGAGCATATCAAATTTTGGCGCCGTTGCCGGGGAATATGGTTTTGAAATTACTATTTAGTGTGTATGTATTATTCTTTTCCATCACACTTTGCTTGCTTTGCTTGGTGTTACTAGGTAAACATGGCCGATTTTGAAGAAGAGGAGAACCCTTTTGCGGTTATAGATGAGTACATTGAGGATACAAACTCCATTGTCCCTCCAAGAGTTGATGCTGCCACCTTCAAGGTGGAACATGGTTTAATCCTAATGCTCAATGCAGAGGGGTTTTCAGAAATTCCACCGATGATGATCCGACACAACATCTCAGAAACTTCTTGGGTGTGTGTGCGATGCACAAGCAGAACAACATTTCAGATGATGCTCTAAGATTGAGGGTGTTCAAGTACTCACTAGCTGGAGAGGCAAGGAAATGGATCCAAAATCTACCACCTAATTCCATTCACTCTTGGCCTGAACTCGTCCGAGCTTTCCTAGATAAATGGTTCCTGCAAAGCAAGAAGTCAGAGCTCTGGGATAAAATTTTCTTCTTCAAGCAACTACCAGGAGAACATCTACATGAGGCATGGGATCGATTCAAGTTATATTTAGTGAGGTCGCCGAATCATGATTTTCTAGACAACATCTTGTTGGAGAAGTTTTACATGGGCTTGGATACTTTGAATCAATCCATAGCCAAAAATGCAGCTGATGGATCCTTTATGGATAAAACATTTGCAAGGGTCACACAAATTCTTGACAAGGTGGCAAAACATAACCAAGCTTGGCACTTGGAAGACACTACGGGTGGAATTGAATATGCTACTCCTTCCTTGACCAACATGATTAAGGAGAACCAAGAAAGAGATCAAGTAATTGCCGGGCTTGTTACCAACATCAATGTGTTGACCAAGATGTTTACTTAAAGCCAAACAAAAAAGGTGAATGTTGTGGAAGATGTGCAACCCTTGTCAAATGAAGATTGCGAGGAAGCAAACTATGTCAACAACTCTCAAGGTGGTTACCAAAGACAATCCTACCAAGGTCCCGGACAACAAAATCAATGGAGGTCTAACCCACAAGGGCAAGGACATCAACAGTGGCTAAATGATCAAGGTAATTCAAATCAAGGCAATTGGAGTAACAACAACAACAACTATTCAAATCGGAGTTCAAACCCCTATATTCCACCAAAGGGGCAATACTCTAACTCTTCGCATTAGAAGGAAAGTTCTTCAAGTGAGTCCAAATTGGAGAACATGCTTGAAAGAGTATTGCAAAATCAAGAAAGAAACGACACTTCAATGAAGTACATGACCAAGCTTGTAGGGTCCCACACCGTGTCCATACAAAAGTTAGAAATACAAATGAGAGATCTATCAAGAGAGCAAAATCCGAAGCTAAAGGGCACTCTCCCAAGTGACACAATTGCAAACCCAAAAGGTAATGGGAGTGGTCCTACTTCTCATTGTATGGCAATCACAACTCAAAGCGAGAAAATACTTCAAGGAGAAAATGAACAAATGGTTGAAGTGGAAGATCTTGAACAAGGGGTTGAGGCACAAGTTGAGGTGCCAATTATTGTTGAAGTTGAAAAACTCCCAAAGGAAGTGGAAGTTCAAGAAGTGGACTGTGAAGAGGCCAAGGAAAAGGTAAAATAGGCACCAAAAGCTCTAGCACCAATTCCTAGACCTTCCCCTCCTTTCCCTCAAAGACTTGCTAGGAGGGTTGATGATAGCAAACTCGAGAAATTCTATGACATTCTCACGCAATTATCAGTGAACATTCCATTTGTGGAAGCATTTCAAGAGATGCCGGGTTTTGCTAAAGACTTGAAAGACTTGATCACCAAGAAGAAAACCACCAAGAATGAAGTGGTGAATATGACTCACCGAGTTAGTTCCATCATTGCAATAACCACCGTTCAAAAGAAAGAAGACCCGGGAGCTTTTAAAATTCCATGCACTATTGGGTTGCGCGATTTAGCAAGAGATCTTTGTGATAATGGGGCTAGCATCAACTTAATGCCTATTGCTATTTACAAGCAAGCGGGGTTAGGGATGCCGAGGCCTACAAGTATGAGGTTGCAAATGGCCGATCGTTCAATAAAGAGACCGGTGGGGATTGTTGATGATGTTCTTGTGAAAGTGGGAAAGTTCCTCCTTCCCACCGACTTTGTGATCCTTGATTTTGCTGTTGATAAAGAAATCCCTATCATCTTGGGGAGACTATTCCTTGCTACCAGAAGAGCACTTATGGATTCAGAACAAAATGAGATCAAGTTCCGAGGTAATGATGAAGAGGTTACTTTTCAAGCGAGTAAGGGTATGAAATTGCCACATGCATATGAAAGCATCTCAGTCATTGATGTTGTTAATGAGGTAGAAGATGCAATCGAGATGAAAATGGAAGAAGAATGACTTGGTGAGGCATTGGCGGCTATCTTGGTGAATTTTGATGGTAAAGACATGGAGGGGTACATGGAATCGGTGAATGCATTGGAAGGACTTGGGTCTTACACTTATGCACCAAAGAAACTTTCTTTTGACTTAGAGAATAGAGTCACTCCTCTCGCTAAACCTTCAATTATTGAGCCGCCAAAACTTGAGCTCAAGCCACTTCCACCGCACTTAAGGTATGTATTTCTTGGCTCTAATGACACTCTACTGGTAATAGTTTCTTCTTTGTTGAATGATGTGCAGGTAAATCACTTGTTGAATGTCCTGAGGGAGCACAGACAGGCCATTGGGTGGACAATAGTGGACATCCGAAGGATTCCCTCCGGAATTTGTGAGCACAAGATACAATTGGAGCAAGAGAGCAAACCTAGCATGGAGCATCAAAGAAGGTTAAGCCCTTCCATACAAGAGGTGGTGAAGAAATAAATCATCAAATGGTTAGATGCCGGGGTAGTCTACCCTATTGCTGATAGTTCTTGGGTGAGCCCGGTGCAATGTGTGCCAAAGAAAGGAGGCATGACCGTGATTCAAAATGACAAAAATGAGCTCATCCCAACGAGAACATTAACTGGGTGGAGAGTTTGCACGGACTACCAGAAGCTCAATAGTGCTACTTGCAAAGACCATTTCCCTATGCCTTTTATTAATAAAATGCTTGATCGGCTAGCGGGAAGGTCATTCTATTGCTTCTTGGATGGGTATTCTGGCTATAACCAAATCAACATCGCCTTAGAAGATCAAGAGAAGACAACATTCACATGCCCATATGGGACTTTTGCCTTTAGCCGTATGCCATTTGGGCTATGCAATACCCCGACTACCTTTCAACGGTGCATGATGTCAATCTTCTCGGACATGGTGGAAGATTTCCTAGAGGTGTTTATGGATGACTTCTCTGTAGTTGGTGATTCCTTTGAGCATTGCCTTGACAACTTTAGACAAGTGCTCAAAAGATGTGAAGAAACCAACCTTGTGCTAAACTGGGAAAAGTGCCACTTCATGGTGGACAAGGGCATTGTTTTGGGCCACAAAGTCTCCAAGCAAGGCATAGAGGTTGATCGGTCAAAGATCAAAATCATTTCCAAGATTCCTTATCCCACTTTAGTAAAAGGTGTTCGAAGCTTTTTGGGGCATGCCAATTTTTATAGGCATTTTATCAAGGACTTCTCAAAAATTGCAAATCCCATGTGCAAGCTCCTTGAAAAAGATGCAAAGTTTGAATTCGATGAGAAGGGTCTCAAAGCTTTTGAGTAATTGAAAGCAAAGCTCACCATGACACCTATTATTATCACACATGATTGGTCCCTTCCATTTGAACTCATGTGTGACGCCAGTGGTTTAGCTATTGGGGCGGTACTTGATCAACGGCATAACAAGTTCCTTCATCTTGTCTACTACGCAAGCAAGACACTCAATGGCGCATAAATGAATTACACTGTGACTGAGCAAGAACTGCTTGCCATTGTCTATGCTTTTGAAAAATTCCGGGCCTATTTGTTGGGTTCCAAAGTGATAGTTTACACCGATCATGCTGCCCTCTGCTATCTTATGGCAAAGAAGGATGCTAAACCAAGATTAATTAGGTGGGTCCTTTTGTTGCAAGAGTTTGACTTTGAAGTCAAGGATAGGAAAGGGACAGAGAATCAAGTTGCGGATCACCTATCTAGGCTTGAAGAGGCAGGGAGACCAAAAGAAAATCTTGAAATTAATGATGCCTTTCTAGATGAACACATATTGGCATTGTCTAGCACCTTCACCCCTTGGTATGCCGACATCGCTAACTTCTTGGTTAGTGACCTTATTCCCGACGGATTGTATGCTTATCAAAAAAATAAGTTCTTGCGGGAGTGTAGGCAATACTATTGGGAGGAACCCTTTCTGTTCCGGATTTGTGCCGACAGTATCATTCGGCGTTGTGTTCCGGAAGATGAGGTAATGCAGATTCTCAAGGCATGTCATAACTCCCCGGTTGGGGGCTATCATGGTGAAAACCGTACTGCGGCAAACGTGCTTGAATGTGGCTACTATTGGCCATCGATCTACCATAACACAAATCAAATGGTCAAGGCATGTGATCAATGTCAAAGACAAGGGTCAATTTCTAAAAGACATGAGATGCCTATGAACTTTGTGATGGAGGTCGAGATCTTTGATGTGTGGGGGATAGACTTCATGGGTCCCTTTGTGAGCTTTTATGGCATGACATATATCTTGGTGGCTGTGGACTATGTCTCCAAATGGGTCGAGGCAATCGCCTTGCCCAACAATGAGGCAAAGAGTGTGACTGCTTTCTTGAAGAAGAACATATTTACGCAGTTTGGTACCCCTAGAGCCATCCTTAGTGATGGTGGTTCTCACTTTTGCAACAAGGCCTTCACCGGGCTGCTCGAAAAGTATGGCGTCAAGCACAAGGTGGCTACCCCTTATCATTCTCAGTCGAGCGGCCAGGTTGAAGTTTCCAACAGGGAGATCAAAAACATCCTAGCAAAAACTATTAATGTAAACATGATTGACTGGTCAAGGAAGCTAGATGATGCATTGTGGGCATATCGCACAGCATTTAAAACTCCCATTGGCACCTCGCCATACTAGTTGGTTTTTGGCAAGGAGTGTCACTTGCCAATGGAGCTTGAACACAAAGCCATGTGGGCATTGAAAAAGTTGAATCTTGATTGGGCCGAAGCTGCTAACCTAAGAATGACACAACTCAATGAGATGGAAGAATTCCGTCTCCATGCCCATGAGAGTGCAGCTGTGCATAAGAATAGAATGAATTTTGTTCATGACAAGAAGATCTTGAAGAGGGAATTCAAATTCGATGACTTGGTCTTACTCTTCAACTCAAGACTCAAGTTATTTTCGGGCAAACTCAAATCCAAATGGTCTGGCCCGTTCAAAGTTGTGAATGTGTCCCCCTATGGAGCTATTGAATTGGAGTCGGAGGACAGGACTCGAACTTTCAAAGTAAATGGCAGCGGGTCAAGCATTACCTCGTACCACAGGAGAAAGTCACTTGGTAGAACAATTCGCACTCAAGGATAGTCCTACACCAATCCCCACCACTGATTAGCCCAAATGGGGTCAACATCGTCATGCCGCGACGTTAAATCAAGCGCTTTTTGGGAGGCAACCCATGCGTGGTAATATCCTTTTGTTAGATTTTAATTTCTGTAGGTTTAGTTATTAGTGTTGAGCAGTTTGACGTGTGTGTTAGAATGCAGGTAGCTCAAAATACAATGAAATAGTGTGCAAGGACTGGGAAGAATGAAGGAAAGAAGGTCCTGTGGTCTGCGGCAACTATGCGGTCGCATAATGGCTTTGCGGACCGCATAGTGGTCGCAGACACACTCAGAAGAAAATGCAATTTTGGTCCTCCACAATGTGGTGGAATTTCTATTTTTGCGGCCCGCATAACAATTATGCGACCGCAGAATGCATCGCAAAGTGGACCTTAGCCAAGCTATCACTAACTCGTCGCATAACACATATGCGACCGCATAATGTGTTATGCGATCCATTTTTCCACCGCAGAACTCCCAGGTATTAAACCCTAATCCCCTCCATATTTCAATCGCACACCCTCACCCTCACTCTCACTCACACACAAGCACCTTACAACACAAAGGAGATCAACGAAACAAAAAAAAACAAAGAAGAATAAGAAAAGACCAAAAATATCGGCTTAACTATGCAAAATCACAAAAAAAAGAGATCGGAATTGCAGAAAGAACTCACCTGGTTCACCTCTCAGAACAAATTCTTCAATTGCTCAGACATCTGGTATGTAATTTTCCTCCCTCTCTTTCTTAATTACATTGAATAAGTTCATGTGTTTGCACCCCCTTCTTTCCCCTTCTTCTCAATTCTTTGCTGTGGGGATCAATGTGTGTCCAATTGATTCGAATTTGTTTTTGTTTTGTTTTGTTTGGGGGCACACTAATGCTGGGGGTAGGATATGTTGAGAGACTTAATACACATGCTAGGATTAAAGACCAAGGTGTTGGGTAATATTTCCATGGCATGAGTGTGCAATGTGTGAGATTGGGTGTAGAGAGTCTGTAAGTAAATGGGTCGACCCTTTTGACTGAGAAAGACGGTCATTGCGGTCTACATAACTGGTTTGTGGTCCGCAGAGTCATTGCATATTGGTGCCCTAGGTGGACTGTTGAGAAGGACCTCTGCGGTTGATTTTGCGATCTCAGACTCATTTCACGGACCATGAAATTGTCGCAAACTGAGGCAGATAAATTGCCCCATCTGGTGAGAAAACACGCGACCACTCTGCGGTCGCATAACCTGTTCTGCGGTCCCTTTCGCGATCGCATACTCGCTTTAGCTCCTGAGTGATTTAATTGTGTGATGGGTGTGCAGTTCGCATAGTTCTTATGCGATCACATAACTTATCGCAAAGGATTCTTGCCTCCTTCATACTCTCTCAATATGTTTTCCATGCTGTATCAACCACTCACCAACTGTTTCACTCACAGGAATGGCACAAAGAAGTCTCTCGCAGTGCGATCACCGCCCGCTCAAGGAAAAAAATGGGCTGCTGCCCTAAGCCACCAAGCACAACAATCCAAACGCCCAAGGCCTGAAATAGCCCGAAGCACTTCTGAGCACTCCTCCCAGTCTGAAGAGGAGGAGGCACAGACTGATCTCATGCCATCCGTTGACTTACATGCTAAAACATGCCGGAAGAGTGAGGAAGATCTTAGATTTGGGGTCGCAGGCTCGTGGAACCTGTACAAAGATGGGTTAGCAAAGAGAAGGATTCTTGAAGAGAAGAAGCTAGGCCTAAACGGTCTAAAAGAGCATTACCCTCATGTGATTGACAAAATAAAAAAGAGGCAATGTGAGTTCTTCATTGAAGTACCAGAGGAGTATAACGAGACACTTGTGGGGGAGTTCTATGCTGCTTATGCTGCCTCCAGGAATGCCGAGCAGAAGTGGAATCTGGTATT